GATGGATGGATGGATGGATGGTTCAGGGAGCATGAGACGTCATTTTCACACGTGGATCAGCTCCACAGAGTCCTCTGAGAGTCTCTGGGATGTGCTGGAGAAGGTCAGACTCTACCATCATCAATGTAAGATCTTGGTGAAAAAGTAATGCAACACTGGGTGAAACAAATCTTGACAGCGCAGAAACTTATTGAAACGGTGCCACAGAGAATGGGTGACGTAATCAAAGCTTAAGGGAGTCCAACATAATAATAGTGTGTGACCTATTTTTTTTTTTTTTTGGTGGTGACTTTTTGTTTTGGTCGGGCAGTGTACAAAGAAAAAAGCCTGAGCTTCCACCTCAACTGCTGAAAACAAGAAAGAGGCCTGGAAACTTTTCCAAGTTTGTGAACACAGCCGACACATTCCTCGTGTCCCATGAGCCAAAGAAAGGTAGGAATGTAACGCACACTGCAAAGGGATGGGAGAATCTGTGGCTAGGATCAAACCCTACAAATCATCCTTTGGTGGATGGACAACATGGACCATCTGGTGATCATACCCAGCTGAAAGCGGAAGAACCTCTGTTGGCCACTGATGAGATTCTTTGACACAGCATTTTAAACCTTTGCCAGTTCCAAGTTCTCATAAACAGTTGTGTGTTGGAGATTATTGTGGAAAAGGACATACAAATTTATCTTGAGCTGTACACGTAAAACAACAGAAACTGAAAAAGGCTTTTTAAAATTTCTTACAGTATTTTACAGCACTAACGTACATAATTGGAAGAAAAGTTATTTAGTGAATTGTTGCTGAACTGCTAAAAAAGAAAACCAACCTGCCAATCCATTGACTCCTATGAGYCCAGCAGAGCTGGCAATGCTGACAAGATGACCATGATTGTTGGCGATCATAGCAGGAAGAAAGGCCTTGTAGGTCTAGGCAGAAAAAGTATGAAAATAAGTACATTATAAAAATACACACAAATGGCTTTTCATCATCAAAATAGCCAGAAAACACAGATCTGAAAGCAAAACAAAAATCTAAGTTAGCCTGCAAGCTTTAGATGATAAAATCTTGTGGGTAACCCAAGTCACACTGTAGGGAGAAATGAGTACAATGAAAAGATTAAAGACATCAGTTCAACAATAAAAGGAAATTAAATGTTTGTATTAAAACCTAGAAATTAGTACTATATGTGACCCATGATATTAAATCAGGGATTCATCAGATTTGGTCAATGTAAACTTAAAACTTTCAGATATCTGGCTTTTAAACCATTGCAAGGTTTTCTTTTTTCTTTGTCAGAAACAAAAGWATTTCTACCTTGTCAGCACTCGTCTGTTTCTTTTTTCCTTTAACTATATGTCCAATCAGACTAAACAAGAGCTCTCTCTGCAAATTGATATCTTTTGGATGTCTTTACTTGTAAAAAATTAAATGTTTCCTGAACCTTTTGGGGCAGATGGTGAGTTCACGGACTGAAAAAAATAATAGATTATTTCAGTAGAGTTTTTTTTAATCAGTCACCAAGATAAAACCTGTTATAAAACCTAGATCAACCTGATATCATGAGCGGTTCCAGAGATACGACTTGATGTGTCTTGCTAATCGGTAAGATCCCTGAAAAATTAGTCTGAATTTAGCCTGACCCTGCCTTCCTACAGTTCCGCTCATTTCTAGTTTCTCTTCTCTGCTCCGTCTGGGACTTCTCCCATTGATAAGGATTTCTTCAGGAGAATTTTACCTGGACCAATCAGCAAACATGAGTTTTGAACAACAACATCAATTTTCTGTGCAGTGTCTGGTAGTTATTTTAGCATACGGCAGTGGAGGAAGTGAATGAAGCCAGTCTGTGTTGATAAGGTTTCAAATTAAATTAAATTTGTCTGACAAAGCAGCAGCTCTCATTTACAGCCGTCTTGTTTGGCTCGGTACTTCTCTCAGTAGGAGATGGTTCTTTAAATTCTTGAAAATTATATTTTGGAATTTTTTCAAGGGACCCAATTCATCATGTGGCCTTTTTATCCAACCAGGGTATTTAAAGTTATTTACACAACAATCTGTGCTCTCATTTACACATTCACACAAAACTCTTATGTTTCTACACAAAGCTAATGTAGATAGATCAATCTRTGGAGATTAATCAGTGCTTTTAGATGATATTTATAAACTGATAGGACACATCAGATACAGTAGGGGTTCAGTGTCTTGTCCAGGAACACTTCAACATGTGACTGAGTAGGAGAATCAAACTATCAAATCTCTCACTGGAGGATAACTCCCCAAATTACCCCCCATTTTTTTATTGACCCCCCATTTTTTGACAAGATCCAACTATCTCAAATTTTTCTACCAATGACATTTGCTGCCTACTATCTCACTACACTCATCACAACCTAGTATTCAGTTCAACGTAAAGGGTCACATTTGAACTCGTAATAAAAGGTGGGCAGAGGAGGAGAAACTAAGAGACAAATGACACACACATGGCTGGATAGAAGAGTCACAACAGCAGTTATATTGTGCGACTTTAGAAACTCTGACCTTGTGGATATTTTCTTGGTCAGCTTTGGTCACGAGAGTTCAGTTGGCGGTTGGTAAGCCTATCCTACTGAACGACCACAAATCACAGATTCAAGCCCACCACCATTTACTTTCTTATACAGTAGTTTCCTTCAAGACAAAATATTGTTTCTGCGATGGTCGAGGACAATATGAGGCTGGCTTTAGTTCCGTCCTTCTCCATAATCCTGGTAGAGTCGCTCATTTCAATTTGGGGTCTAGCCCATGTTTTGGCAAACCTTTTCCTCTCCTACTTTTCTAAGTTTGTCTGTTGGGGAGAAGCAACCTGAAGGCTGGAATTGTTTTACATGCACAAAAAAAATAAAAAATAAAAAACAGCTGCAAGTGTTCTAATTGGACAAGAAAGTTTTCGCTACAAGTAGGAGTTAGTGTTTGTTGTTCTCTGACATCGCTGTTTACAACCAGACAGAAAATAATTCAGGCTGCCGCTGCTAAGCTACAGGTAAAATATCCTGAGGYTTTTATTGCAACTAAAGGTGATTATAAGCAAACCAGTTTGGACTCTACTATACCCACATTTAAGGATGTTTGTTGATACAACAACACAGGACAAAAGAACAGTGGCTTCTCTGTTTATTATTAGGATGCATACAGAGCCACTGCCCCACCCTAACTCAGCTGTTATGATCACAATCTGGTTTTACCAACACTAGTACATACATGCAAAGTGTGTGTGTGTGTGTGTGTGTGTGTGTGTGTG